CCACCCACGAAAGTTCTTTTAAACCCAGCCGCAGGAACCGCGATTTCCTCCTTCACTCAGCAGCCAAATCTGCTGACTTGTCTTGCCAAGTCAGCCTCAAGCAAGCCTACGAAGACGAGAGGGCAGAGCGAGAGCTGCTTAGCGAGCACTGCGCCTTTTTTTCCTAGGAGACCGATATCGTGGGGTGGAAAAATGGGGTTTATATAGGGTTTTAGGGTTTCGGCAGGGGCTCTTAGATTAACTTTCGGACTTGATTTAGGCTGACGTAGGGTCTTTCTTAATCAGGACCTGTTCTTTCTGTGTAGACTTTTTTGCCGGATCCCTGGTTTGTCCGATACCTTTCATGTCGTCCCAGCTTCCGCAAAGGACTCAAGAAGAGAACCCCGAAAAGGCATCCTACCATTCAGTGTGGGTTAAGAGGGGCCTTGGTCAGGGCTTCTCTTTTATGGATCCTACCGACGGTCTGGTTCATGCCGGGACCCCATGAAAAAATTGAAGACAGGTGTTGGGTGATGGGAAATATAGTATGCGATAACATATTGCAAGTCTAATAGGGAACCCTCAACCCTAAACCCTAAACCCAGTATCGGTGATGATTCCGACCACCATAGTACGGAAACTCTGACTGAACCCTAGTGGAGCCAATTCGTCGAAGGCCTTTGCAGCCAGAGGCATATCGGTCTAGGGTCTAGGAATTGTTGGGTTTTAGGGTTTAGGGTTTAAGGGTCAGGGTTTAGGGAGTTTGAGGTTTAAGGTTTTGGTTTAAGTTGTGAGGTTGATGAAGATCTGTCTTGGACAGTGTGGCTGCTTGATCCAATTCACCCGATGGTCGGCAGATGCCGAGATGGTCCACCTCTCCCTTCAGAACGATGTCAGGGCCTTTCGCTTTGCCTCAGAGCGCATCCGAGATGATTTTGCGACCCCTGCCTATCAATATTATATAGGTGCAGGTCACTAGTAATGTGATACCAGTCCTGAGGATTCTCCAATATCTACTTCTTCTAGAATATACTCAAAATTCAAACCCCTATTCTAATTGTTATAACGACTCTATATTCAACTCCACACGTTTTTTTCTCGTTGATACTTTACTTCGGCGGCACGCAGCCGTTGAATGCCCCTTTCTGCGAGGACCGCTGTGGCCGTGGTAGCCCGCAATGGCATGCTACTCGAGTTTGCCTCCGCGAGATTGCGAGCTGACCGAGCGCTGATCCAGGCTGCTGTTTGCCAGAACGTCTTCGCCTTCCAATTCGCGAGGCGCTGCGAGCATCGGATAGCAAGGGTCGGGCTCGGGGGGCTACTGGTTCTTGTTAAGGGAATTTCTTTAAGTTACCATAAATGGTGGTCTATAGTTAAAAAAATATGGTTTCTTTATTATGGTAACTTAAACTAGATCCCCTAACAAGAGCCCAGGCTACCCAACATTGTAGGATTTCTTTTATGACTACCTCGAAGCATGACACCCCTACTTTCGAGAAGGCTTTTGGGATGTCACTTACTTCTTACAGTACTTTGACCGACGACAATTGTTTACTAAAGCGCAGGAGGCTGCATTGGACTAAAGCTACAGAGCTCGAACAACATTGGAGAAGGAACTACAGTCATAGATGAACCCTAGAGGGTGTAAGTTTGGAAAGCCCAGAACCCTAAATCTTAAGCAGTAAACCCCACGTTCGCCTTAAACCCAAAGCCCTAAACCTTTAAACCCTAAACCCCAAGCTCCTTACCTAGAGACTCCAACATCCCTTAATTAAGGAATATACCTTAAAGCATCTCAGGGATCCTACTATATCTTCAGGAAGATTCCTTAAATCAGGGATATTGGAGTCTCTGGGTAACCCCAAACCCCTAACCCCCCAAAGTCCTGAACCCCAAACCCTAAACCCTAAGGTTTTTTTTTAAGACAAAAGACCCAAGCTCCTGAACCCCAAACCCTAAACCCTAAGTTTTTTTTTTAGACAAAAGACCCAAGCTCCTTAACCCCAAACCCCAACTTCGCGTTGCCGAGAGGCTAGAGTCGGCTGATCTGCGAGCTTTTGCGGCCACAGAGGTCTTGAAGAAGCTGGGGGTGACAGGAGGGTTTTTTTTTGGGGCTTAGGGTTTAGGGTTTAGGGGTTTAGGGTTTTGGAGTTTAGGGTTTTTGGGGTTTAGGGTTTTGGGGTTTAGGGTACAGAGTTTTCTGGGCTTTGGGGTTTTGGGGCTGTGGGAGTATCATTGGTTCGGACCATGTTACACCCGGAAGGAGGAGACCACGCCCTAAACCCCAAAACCCTAAACAGTCAGCCCTCAACCGCTAAATCCTAAACCCTAGCCTAAAACCCTTAGGGTTTAGGGTTTAGGGCTTATCATGTAAACCCTAACAGCAGGAGACAACGTAGCCCACGACGTTCGGCAGCATGCCGCAGAGGCGTGCTTTCGGCAGCATTTCACTGACTGAACCGCAGCGCACCAACCCCTGAGGGAAACCAGTAAGGTTGAGGTGTAATCATCGCTACGTACTGTTGCTGATGTAAATCCTGCATTGCCCAGAATAAGGAATATACCATGATTCCCATAGAACCCTAAACACTAAACACTAAACCCTAAAACCCTAAAACCCTAAACCCCTACCGCAGGTGGTTCGTCTTTTGCGGTTTGGAGCTACTGGCTTGGGCTCAGAGTTAGGGCCAGGGTGTCGGGAGGTAGGGTTTAAACTCGAGGCACAGAGAGACAGAGAGAGAGAGAGAGAGAGACAGAGAGAGAGAGAGAGAAAGAGAGAGAGACGATAGAAAGAGAGACAGAAGAGAGAGAGAGAGAGAGAGAGAGAAACAGAGAGAGAGAGAGAGAGAAAGAAAGAGTTTAAGCCTTGTTTAGGGTTCCCGAAATTCTAATGGTATACTGCGCGGCTTAGGACCCAGGGTCTTTAGTTTCAGGTGTCGGTTGCTACTCATGCCTAAAAGTTGCGGCCTGTCAGCGCTTTTCTCGAAGCCAACAAGACCCAAAACCCTAAACCCCATAAACCCTAAACCCCAAAACCCAAAAAACCCTAAACCCTAAACCCCCCTAAACCCTAAACCCCAAACCCTAAACTCCAAACCCCCTAAACCCTAATCCCCCCAAACCCCCCAACAAAAACCCTAAACCCCTCCAGCAAGGTACAAGATGTGCAGGACCTGCCCATCCTTGTTGCAGGCGCTCCAAACGCTTCTCAGAGACTGGGTTCTGGAGTATACTGTTTTATTGGACCTGGTTCCTTAAAGGAACCACTATAAAACAAGAGTCTATACTTTTGTCTCCCTGGTTACTTCAAAGTCCAGGAGAAGCTGACACTTCGGATGCTGGTTGGTTGAGAGAGTGCCTCGTCCTCTCTAGGACCTCCTTTTAGGGCTTCTTCGTTGGTGGTTTAGGGTTTAGGGGTTTATAGGGTTTAGGGTTGAGGGTTTAGGGTTTTAGGGTTTAGGGTTTGTATCGGCTTACTTTGACTCTAAGGTTTGTTTAGGTTGTGGTTTGGGCAGCTGTAGGGTTGCATAAGCTTTTGGAGCCTTTGCTGTAAATGCTATGAACTCCTACGTTACAAATCTAGCAACCGGTCCTAATTATCTACATAGGGTCTCCGGTTCGACGTTTAAGGTTTAGTGTACTTGAAGGTTCATGGGTAGTTCTCAGTGTGGTTATAAGTTCCCTAATATGGGGTTACAACTATAGTTACCTTACTTATAACCCCACTTATAACTACGCATGAACCTCCAACTAGAACTTGCTGCTGTAGTTTGTGACGATAGCTAGTTAGGACCTTCGGACAATCCATTCCGATGTGTTCGTGGTTGATCGTTGGGTTTAAGCCATGCCTATGTTCGTGTTCATCCAGCACCTTGAGTGTGTTAAACTGTTAAACTGTTAAACCCTGAACCCTAGACCCTAAACCCTAAACCTTAAACCCTAAACCCGAAAAGGGCCCTTTAAAAAAAAAAACAAAAAAACTTACCTGCCTTGTTAAAACATTACATCCTGACTCCTAAGCCCGAAACCCAAGGAGCCTCACTGAAATTCGAAGCCTTTACAACGCGAACCCAGGTTCTGTCTCGAAGGCGTGAAGCAACCTGACGGCACGGAATAGGGGAGCTTCAGGTTTAGGGTTTAGTAGGGGAGTGTTAGGGTTTAGGGTTTAGGGCATGGAATGAATTTGGGTTCTTGTTAAGAGATCTAATTTAAGTTACTAAAAATAAGGGAAACCATATTATTTGTGGTAGATCCCTATTATAGCAACTTAAACTAAGTCCCTTAACAAGAACCCAGGAAATGGATCTTGTCGTTTTTTCTTGCAGGTTTGGCTTCAGATACTATACTCATACTCCATATGCGCTGACATCAAACACATCTACAAAACGCTAATAATTACGTCTCTAAGCTATATAACCTAAACCTTACGAAACCCAAGAGTCCATGCAGTCCTTATCAATAAGCTCTTCAATTGCATCCAACACCCCAAAACACCCTTTGATCCCAGGACCCACTAAGCATCACTAAGCGCTAGACCCCATAAGCCCTAAACCCCCTAAGCCCTAAACCCTGCATGAATGGTTTAGGGCCGTTTAGGGTTTAGGGCACACTAAACCCTAACCCCCATAAGCCCTACATCGCAGACCCTACACACTAAACCCTAAACCCCACTGACAAGCCCCAAACCGCCGACCCTTCATGAAGGGCTGCTAGTGATCCCGGGACCAAGGCAAGAGCCCTCCTTCTACAAGGCCCTCTCTGCGTCGGAGCAGCAGCTTGTTTCGAAGAGATTTTAAGGGGGTGTGCAGTGGGTTGTAGGTTCAGGGTTTAGGTAGGTTTAGGCATCAGATTTCTGGGTGTCGAGTTTAGGGTTCAGTGTGTTCGGCCCTAAACCCTAAACCCTAACTTTAGAGTTTAGGGTTCAGTGGGTTCGGATTCAAGCGTAGGGCTTCGACGTGAAGAGCTTTCGGTTTGATATGGTTTTCTTTAGGGACCCCGAAAGGGCATAAGCATTACGCCTGTTGCAGGGATATCATTACCTTAGTGGGTTTCACTATAAGGGGGGGGTCCTTATGGGATATCCCTATCCTAAGGTTTGCTTATGTGTGTTTTTTGTTCGGGCCCTATTTGCTTGGAACTAGCGGAGATTCGCGGAACCCAAGCTTCAGGTTATCGGGCGCAGGGGCTTCGGATAGGAGCTCAGGAATGCAAACCCAGAGGGTCCGAGTACCCAAATAGTAAGGTTTTAGGTCCCAAAATCCACACTCTGAATGGTTTTGGGACCGTGAAACCCTACTATTTGGGTACTTGGACCCTTAGGGAAAGACAAAGAGATATGCAAGGGGCAACTTCAACAAATATTCAGACGATAACCAAATCAGTCGCAACGGTTTGAAGTTAAGTGATGGACGAGATGAATGGCTAGCCTTCTATGTAGCCGTCGTTGATCGAGACTCGTCCTCAACAACAGAGAGTGTCCGCCGTTTCGATGCAGCTCTCCGCGAAAAAAACAAAGAAAACCCCTAAGCCGAATACGTCTTCGGTCCTAAACCCTTGCAAAGGTTGGACATGGAGATTGCCACGGCAGCTGTGCGGTTGGACCCATGCCTCTTTCCGCACGACCTGCCCAAAGAAATCAGGTGCAAGTGGGGATTCATAGGGTCTAGGGTATCAAATGCAAGTGGCGTCGGGGTCGGGGCGAAACGACCGGGGATGGGGGTACGAATCAAGATCAGGTGCAGCAAGTGTAGTACCCTAGACCCTAAACCGATCAGGTCTTGCTTCAACATCCAAGTCGCCGCAGTCGCGAAGAATGTCAGTCTGAAGTATTTTGTTTTGCCCTCCGACCGCGTCCTTGTCGAGAAGGCAGCCGCAGCTTGTGGGAAGGCTGGATGAGGCTGTGTGCAGAACTGATGTAGGAACCGGGAAGTGAAGTTTGTTGTTTGTTCAACGATACTAAACTTGCTAAGCCCTAACCCCCTAAACCCCTGAACCCTAAATTTTCAATTCTAAATTCTATAAGCCCCTGAACCCTAAACCCTCAAAAAGAAAACTAAACCCCTGAACCCTCAACCCTAAACCCTAAACCCCTGAACCCTAAACCTTCAAGCCTCCCCTCAGAGCTGACTGCAAGTGAAGCCTCGCCCTTAAACCAAACTTACCGTCTGACAATTCCGGTTCCTGCGTTGGCGGTCACCGGCTGCGCTGTCGAGTTCCATCAAAAAGAACGCTCCAAACCCAAAGCCCCTAAACCCCCAATCCCTGCACCCCAATTCCTTGCTCTCCATTCACTTTCCTGGTGGCTGAAGCTCCTAGGATCAGGATTTCGGATGCCATGTCAATCAGGTGATTCGTACTTGGGGTGAAGCGTTAATGCTAAGGGTTGATGTAGGGGCCTGAATAAAAATAACTACCAATACTATTTTGGGGATCCCTTATTAGTACTAGTATTTATATTTGTTATTCTTATTCAAATATAATATCCCCCCACTCTATTCTATTGATTAAGGCCCCTTCGTTAAGCGAGTAATCTTCTTCCATAGGGTTCCCCGCGATACTCGTAGTATGCAACACCACTAAAGCTTGGGTTGAATCCTTCTCTTGGAATTACATTGAGGGTTTGGGGTTTAGGGTTTAGGGATCGGGCATACATCATTCATCACTCGTCATCAGCATCATCACCATCATCATCATCATCGTCATCATCATCGACATCGTCCTCGTCATCGTCATCATCATCATCATCATCGCCGCCGTCATCATCATCATCATCATCACCACTATCACCATCATCACTATCATCACTCTCTTCAGCATCACCAGGAAACATGCTGAAGCATATGCACGTGCTGACAAACTTGATGGTGTTATGTTATGTTCAGTTCTTAAGACACCGTTCAAACGTCAGTGATGTAGATAAACATAGATCAACCATTCACACCTCCTACTATGGAAGCCCCAATAATTACCAAAATGGTTATTAGGGTTCATTATTATGAATTTACTTTACAGGAGCCCAAAACACTATTCTAATTATCAATTCCCCTACATTACAGCCATATACCCTAAACCCTAAACCCCTAAAGCCCTAAACCCCTAAACCCATAAACCCCTAAACCCTAAACCCATATGGGTTCAGGATTCAGGGCCTTGGTTCAGGTTCCCCCCTCTCTGTCCGCATTAATTTCTGCAGGGGTTCCCTTCAAGATAGCGTCATACGGTTGATGATATAAATCCTGCGTTACCCATAGTAAGGAATAGACCATAATTCCGATCCTGAAGTGATGCAGGATGTATTTATCATCAGCAGTAGGGATTAAAAGGGTATCGGCCTTTCGGGCGGCTGTGCCTTGAGGCTTTTGGCTTCAACAGGTTTTGGGTTTCGGCTTCCCGCCAAACCAACGGTTTAGGGTTTAGGGTTTAGGGTTTGGGGTTTAGGGTTTAGGGTTCGGTTTGCCCTGACCTCTACCAGTGTGACTGTTGGTGTGCAGGTTTTTGAGGTTTCAGGGTTGGGTGCCGTCCCTCGGAGGGCGTGCGAAGGCCTTGGGTATGCGTGGGGTTCAGGGATTTGGGGCTTGAGGGTGTGGGAACTGCGTCTGGGGGTTTGGGGGTGTAGGATTTATGGTTGTAGGTGTTTGGGTGTCTTTGTTGAGCTTTAAGTTGTTCCTTCAGCCGTACCTATATCTTGAACCGTGCCTGTTGGCGGAAATCAAGATGGAGACTTGACAACCTACTGCCCTCATCTGCAAGTATAGGTCTCCGCAGGAGCTAAGCTACTAGTACCTGCATGGCTGGATACTGTTCCTCAGCCCCTGAAACAGTTAACTTCATGGCATTTTATGGCACTCATGACCAAGCAACCCCGTATCTATCATTATCTATCCATCTTTGAATGAGAATAACTGACAATTTTACATATATATATATGTATATATATATATACATATGTATATATATATATGTGTACACATGCACACACACACACACATATATATATATAGATATAGATAGATAGATAGATAGATAGATTTATGTAAATACACATATAGTACATATGTACTTCTAGTTCTTTTAATTATCTTCATATCTATATATGTGTCTGTTTGCATTCATTTGTATATATGTATATGGACATGTATCCTTATGTATGTATGTCTGTATGTATGTATGTATGTATGTATGTTTGTAAAAATATTATGTGTATACATACATATATATATACATAACATATACATACATACAAACATACATACATACATACATACTTACATACATACCTACTTACCTACCTAC